ATTGCAAGAATGCAAATATGCAGTATCCTAAGATCTTGCCAAGCCTGGTCCTTCCAGCAAATTCCTAACTTGTCTTTCTGATACTATTCTATTTTAGAGGGTTAAGGAAGGTGGCGGGATAGTGGCACATAAATTTAAGAAATAATTTATTAACAGGGAGGATTTAATTGTCTAACAAAAAAAGAGAGTATTTAATTTCTACTGGTAACCAAATGAAATTCAATGGTGAAAAAAGTAAGATTCTACATTTAGGGAAGAAAAATAAAATGCACAGGTATTAGCATACTCACTCAATAGTAGTAACTGTGAGAGGGAACTTGGAGTCCTAGTGGACAATCACTTAAATATGAGCCAGCAGTGTGCTGCAGCTGCCAAAAAAGCCAAGAAAATTATAGGCTATATTAACAGAGCGATCGAATCAAGCATGTGAAGTGTTAATACCACTTTATAATGCCTGGGTAAGACCACACTTGGAATATTATATCCAGTTTTGGTTGCCACAATATAAAAAAAGATGTTGAGAATCTAGAAAGTGTGCCGAGAAGAGCAACAAAGATGATTAGTGGACTGGAGGCTAAAATTGGTTGCAGGGTATGGGTATGTCTAGTTTGATGAAAAGGTGTAGGGGTGACATGATAGCAGTGTTCCAATATCTCGGGCTGCCACAAAGAAGAGGGAGTGAAGTTATACCCCAAAGCACCTGAAGGCAGGACAAGAAGCAATAGATGGAAACTAATCAAGGAGAGAAGTAGCTTAGAACTAAGGAGAAATTTCCTGACATTAAAAAAAATTAACCAACGGAACAGCTTGCCTTCAGAAGTTGTGAATATTCTAACACTGGAAATTTTTAAGAAGAGATTGGACAACCATTTCTCTGAAATGTCAGGGGTGGGATTCTACCAGTTCACACCTATTCGCTAGAACCAGTTGTTAACATTCTAAGAAGTTCAGAGAACTGGTTGTTAGAAGAAATTACTGGCCTAATCCTGTAAGGGAGGTAGGAAAGAAACATTCTGGTGTTGCTTACACAAACTGCCTCTCTGTTAACCCTTATTATTCTTGGCAGGACTAGACTTCCTGTCTCAGGAATGTCTCTGGAGTTTTCCCCCCACCTTTGCTGGTACTTTGCTTGTGTGGAGTGACCATTCAAAGTTACAATGGCACTGAAAAAAGTGACTTACGACCATTTTTCACACTTATGACTGTTGCAGCATCCCCACAGTCATGAGAGGCCAGGTGAGGAGATGTGTGCCTCAATGTGAATGATGTTGAGTTGGCCATGCCCAGCCAATAACATGACCACCAAGCTATGTTCATCCAGTCACATGACCACCAAGCCATGCCCACCAACTAAGCCACACCCACAGAACCAGTTGTTAAAAAATTTGAATCCTACCCTTGTGAAATGGTATAATGCTTCCTGCCTCAGCAAGGTATTGGACTAGAACAGTGGTCGCCAACCAGTGGGCCGGGGACCACTGGTGGTCCATGAGAAAATTTTGGTGGTCCGCAGAGAAATGTCACCCCCAAAGCATCTTCCAAATAGCCCACGGGAACACAAGGCTTGCATTGCTTGCATTGAGAACAACACGAGGTAGTCAGAGGAGGGTGAAGGGTGGAATTTGTCCCACTCACCCCATGTGCCTTGCCTGGCCACCAGGCTTCTTCTTTCCACTTCTTTCTTCTTCTGCTTTTGGCTTCATGCAAGGAAAGCAGCAGAAGCAGCAGAAGCCTTTCTTTCTCTCCCCCAAACTCTGCCAGAAAAGAGTCTTTGGGACCCTGCAAGGCATCCTGCTCCAAGAGGCTGTGCCGGCATGACAAGTCTCACAAAGACTCATTTCTGGCAGAGTTTGGGGGAGAGAAAGAAAGACTTCTGCTGCTTCTGCTGATTTCCTTGCATGAAGCCAAAATTCTCTCTCTCTCCCACTAAGAATGGAACTGGAGACAGTATCCTGTGATCCCAAATAAAGAATGATCGATCGGTAGGAAAACGGAATGGGGAATTTTCCTGCAGAGTCTTTTGGGGATTTTCCCAGGGTCTCTGGTCAGCGGGATTTAAAATTATGAGTTTGGTGGTCCCTGAGGTCCAAAAGGTTGGCGACCCCTGGACTAGAAGACCTCCAAGATCCCTTCCAACTCTCTTATTCAGTTAAAAAAAAGGAAGACAAATTCTGTTCTGTTCTGTTTATTGAGGAAACAGAAACAGCAGCAATGTGATGAAGTGGCCACATATTGCTGGTCCTGATTTCAAGGAAAACTAAAACTGAGTGTAGTCATACACAGATCTTGGACTTCACAAGTAGATGCCGTAGATTCAGAAAGTAATTGCAAGTAGGATCATGTGATAGGAAAAGCTAATGGAAAAAAGCACTCAAGGATGTAAAAAATCCCTAAGGGAGGTAAAAGTAAAATTGCAAACAATTCCTTTGAGGAAGAAAAACAGAGAATCATGGTAGTCTAAATGACAATCCCAAAAAAAGGCTGTGAAAATCTGAAAACAACCAAAAAAGATACATAAAGAGGGAATCTGAAAATGGGCAGCGCACAAAGGAAGAGTGCAGTCAAGTAACCCAGCATTGCAGAGTTGAAGTCAGAAAAGTGAAAGTGCAGAATGAGGGTTTTTTTTCCTTTGAAGATGCCTAAAGAAACTATTTTTGTTATTCTTAGCACCCTTCAAAGAAAAAAAAAAGAATCAGAATATCGTCTGCTCAATAAAGATGGCAAAACGCTAACAGGTAACAAGAAAAGGCAGAGGGTAATGGATATATGGGAATGAACTTGGGAGACCTGGCAAAGAAACGCTGCCTGAAGAGCAATCAGACAAGAGGGTACAAATCCCACAGCTGCATAGTGGGCGGAGAAAGAAGTTCAGGAGGAACCCTTCCTAATCATTGGGCTGTAAAGGTGATGGTGGGAGAATTATACTGTACTTTAAGCCTTGCAAGACTAGTATAACTGTCCATATACTATAGAGTGGGCAAATTAAGGAAATCACTTTCTTCTCTACAAATGCAATTAATTACAATAATTTATTTCCATATGGCTATTTGCTTGAATTTGTAAACTTGTTAACTCATTTAAAGATTAATACCTGATTAACTATGACCACAGCATACAGGGAAAATCTATATAAAATGTTTTATAGGTGGCATCTTCCTCCTCCTAGACTAGCAAAAATGTTCAGCTTAAGCCCAACTTAAGCTGTTGGAAGTGTAAGAAGGAAAAAAGGACCTATTTTCATATGTGGTGGACCTGCCCAGAGGTCAAGAAATATTGGACTATAACTCGATTGTGGTTAGAAGAAATAATAAAACAGAAAATTGAATCCAAACCAGAACTATTCCTATTAGGCATAATAATGGAAAAATATAATAAAAAAGATAAATACATTATGCTACCTATTTTAACAGCTGCTAGGATTTCCTATGCACAATTCTGGAAGCAAGAAATTGTACCACCAGAGGGTGTTGTTATAAAAAAAATTTAGACTGTGCAGAGATGGACAGACTAACAATGAAATTAAGAGAAAAAGAAGAGTCGATATATTATAAAGTCTGGGATGCCTGGTATGAATGGTTTAAGAATAAAAAGAAATCGAAATGGCAATTACGTAAAGAATAAGAAACTATGTAAATACTTATATCTATATTCATATATATCTATATTTATTTATATATTAAGTTGAAATTGTATAATGAAAGAAATGTGTATATATAAAGATGATAAGGAAATGAAAAAAAAAGTTGAATACCTGAAGTTAATTCTTCCCCACTGCTTGGGAATTTGAATGCCTCCCTATTATTTTTCAGGATATGTTTTGAGCTAGTAAGAAATACCTTCTTCTTGGAAACCAATTGCATCTTGTCTGCCTGCTACAGATTATTTAGTTTAGCTTCTAATGCAGCTAGACAACACAGATGAGTTTCTTATAAATATGTGGACCTAGAAAACACAGAGATAGTATACTTGGGGCTCCTATTGCAGTGATTAGTTTTCAAATAATCAAATATACAGTGTACTACATTTTAACAGAATTAGAATAACAGAGTTGGAACAATAACAGGTTAGCGGTCTTCTGGTCCAACTCTCTTCTCAAGCAGGAGATTGTACCATTTCAGAAAAGTGGTCGTCCAATGTCTTCTTAAAATTGTCCACGGATGGAGCACCTACAACCTCTGGATAAATTCTTCTCACTGTCAGAATATTCTCCTTAGTTCTAGGTTGATTTTCTCCTTGATTAGTTTCCACCCATTGTTTCTTGTTCTGTCTTCAGGTATTTTGGAGAAGAGCTTGAAGCTGACTCCCTCTTCTCTGTAACAGCCCCTCAACAATTGGAAGACTGCTATAGTCCTTCTTTTCATGTATCATGCACTTGTTGATTTTTATACTAGAATTATTCCTTCTTGCAATAATTAATTAGATTAGTTTAACATTCAAAAAATGCCTAGAAATAATCTGGGTTATTTTCAGATTGAGACGACTATCCTTGCCCCATTTCTTCAAATAAGATCTGATCTATACATTGTAAGTATCTGTAGACTGGTACCTCATCATCTTGCATTCACAATGTTGAACTATTGTGCAGTTTGGAAGATTGAGGATATAGGTATCTACCAGCAGGGATTAAAAATCTCTTCAAGAGTTGGAATCGGTTAACATAGATTCATCATTCATCAATGATTATGCAGCAAGAAATAAGATTATGTTTGAATGAGCTATCATAAATCTTTTGCCACAGGCAGAACATTCATACCATTTCATGTTTATACTGTACTGCTGTGAACATTTACCAATCAGGATTATGAGAAAAATATACTTGGTTTAGATTCAATGAATGTCATTTATGGCAGAGGACCTGGGATCATGACTACATTCCACTGTGCATTATAATTAAAGGCATTCCATTTTGACATAGCTATTACTATGTGCCTTGAAGTCTCTGGCTGTCTTCTTCTGTATTGTCTTTGGAGTGTCTTGACCACCTATTACTCTTCTCTCAGCTCTATGGCCAGTATACAGAACAGCTTCCCAGTCTTTCTCAGAAGGAAGCAGCTGAACTTCTGAATAAGAAGTCTCAAGAGTCCTCGAAGCGGAGAAGTCGGGCTGAACTCAAAGAGGAGAGCTACTCTAAGTATCATGGTAAGCTTCCAAGAAGCTCACAGTATCTTGGGGGTTAACTGCACTGGAGTTTATTGCATATGGTGAGAGGGAAGCTGAAGGTTGTTGCTATGTTTTGGCTGTTTAGCTCAGAATCTGAGTCTAAAGCCTGTAGAGTACTTTTTAAAAAAGTTATTAAGAAAATTAGGCAATATATGATAATTCTACTTCTGCATACATAAAGATTAATTAATGAGATAATCAGAAATTCAAACATATTCACATAGGGCCTTGTATTAGCAATGCTGAAGAGTGGGTGTTAATGACCTGTTAAAAATAATCCCATATGCTATTTGCTGTATTTCGCCTGCATTCTCAGAGCACTGTGGGCTAAGTCACTTTTTCTAATTCAGATTGGACATCACTATAAGATTATTTTTCCAGTTAAGTGAAATGGAGAATGTTTATTTTTCTTTTGTTGTTTTAAGCCTACTGTTTGCTATTTTCAACGAGTCACATAACACATGCTTCATAAAGTATGGATCAGGGCACTTTAAACCTGATGAATTTACCGATGCTTATGTTCATCAACATCTCTGAATTAAGGAGAGTTTCTGCAAGCTTTAAATGCATCTCCGTCTGTTTGGAAGGAAATGACACAATCTGGCATGATTTAAGTCCTCTCATCCTTGTTGATGTCAGTGGAAGAAATTTGACACATTTATTACAGTGTCATACAGTTCCCGGTGTCATATATAGAACTATGAAGTAGTAATGTTGGAGGAAAATTTACCACTATTTAAAAGACCTTCCTTTTCTGCAGCCTGTACTAAAAGTATCAAGAAATATATTACGAAGAAGCTGGGAGAAGACTGGATATTCTTGATTCTCCTGGGTTTGGTCATGGCACTAGTCAGCTGGGGGGTAGATTATGCCAGTGCCAAAAGCTTGCAAGGTAGGTTGGTTCACACTCTAAAGAAATGCTACAACTTAAAACACTGTCTACTCTGTTTTATTATTGTGCTATCATTCACAACTGAAACCAATTAAAAACCTAACAAATGTAGCACGTAAAGGTTCAGACAAGACCGAGTAGAGAGATGAATAATTTCTTGAAAACAAAGCTGACTGAAAGGTACCAGTTCTGGTCATGGAAAGTGTACCTGTTTGTTTTCTTTCCTACTGTTTGCTCTTTCCAAAAACCAAACATTGAGCTTTCCCCTTTTAAGATCTGGGTCTTTCACCAGGCAGGTAGAGAGCTCTCATTCCTAGTGATCATCTGTTATCCAAATGAGGAAGGAAATGGCCTTGGAAAGGTGCTTCATTTGTTCATTAGGCTGGATGTTGGGTTGCTGCTGATCATAGAAATTGATCCGTGTCTGTCTGGGTTGCCTTCAGATTGGTCAATGAGGGATCCTGCCCTCTTTGAACCCTGCACAGATCCTGGCAAAATGCCCTTCCACAAAAAGAAAAGGGAATGCTTGTTACTGATTTCTTCTATTGCACCCTGCCAATCCTTGCAATTGACACAAGCCATTTGAGAATATAGATGGAGGTAGGAAAGACTGCAGAGTGAGATTGGAAAATGTTCTTGCCTTGTTTAGTTAGAGCTCTGCTTGTTGGTTATCATTCTGCAGTGGGCTGAGTCCAGCCAATGGCAACTCCTGCATGGGTTGAATTTATGGTGTTTTGGGTTCTGTTCAGGTGTTACAATCACTCACGTCTATTGTCATTTCTCCCCCTACAGCTTACAAGTGGATATACAAAGAGATGCAACCCAGCATCCCTATGCAGTTCCTGGCCTGGGTCACCTACCCCCTCGTCCTTATCCTCTTTGCTGCCCTCTTCTGCCAGCTTGTCTCTCCACAGGCTGTGGGTGAGCAATCAAGGGACATATATGTCTGTTCATCTCAGGCCCAAACTACACAACCATAGCAGACTTTTTTTTTGTCAATCCCAGTCATAGATGAAGCCCCCCGTCTGCCTTTTTTTGCCTGCCAATTCACCACCCTATGTCCATTCTTAGGGCAAAAGGGGTACACAATCAAGGAGCACTGATTCTATTGGGTCCATGTAAGGACAAGCAGAGATTTGCTGCAGGCAGATAAGACACTTTAATATCTCCCATTAATTCTTATTATTGAAGTTTCAAGCACTCATACTTATTTGTCTGTATCCCGCCTTTGTTATTTTGACAAATGACTCAAGGTGGTGAACATAGCCAACATAACTTTCTCCTCTTATTATCCCCACAATAACAAACCTGTGAAGTATGCTTCCTATGTGATTGAGGTCAACCTGGGTGTCACCTAAGAGGTCTGGTGCTATCTGACATAGGTTCCTTGTGCTGTAGTATCTCAATATGTTTTGGACGATGTTCTCTCTGAAAAGCATTTTTCTTGATTCCTTTCTGTTTTGTTCAGGCTCTGGGATTCCAGAATTAAAAACTATCATGCGAGGAGTAGTCCTCAAGGAGTACCTCACACCTAAAGCATTTGTGGCCAAAGTTGTAAGCCTGACAGCTGGCCTGGGAAGTGGGATTCCTGTTGGAAAAGAGGTGGGTACAATTGGGAGGAGAGGTAAGAGAGAAAAGAGGGTAAGTGATGGCAGATATTTGCTTGAAGACAAAGGCTGCAAAGAACTAAAGGATTCTAGGGTTAAACTCAGAATAGATCAAATGAAGAAAAAAAAAACAGATGCATCTTAAACCACATTTACAAAGCATTTAAAAGACAGAAGTAAAAAAAAAAGCCAAGAAGGAAACAAAGACATCCTCTCCATCTGCCAACACCCAGGTAAGCAGGGATTAACACCAGACAAACAATCAAGCAGAAAACAATACAATAACCAAGGAGAAAACCACACCCTCAGCAAACTGGCAGAGCAAGCTATTGCACATAAACAGGCAGTAAAACTCACTCTCACTTGCACTAGTTGGGTAATGAAACATCTGCAAACAAACAATCAAGGTCAAAAAGCATTCCACAGCTCAACCCTGAGCTACATATATTCTCTTATCACTGAAATAAGTGTGTGAGAATGTTTCTGAACTAAACTATTTTCCCCACTGGAGCACTAACCAGTTCTCTTTTACTGGCTGGCTAGTTTTCCCACTGGAGTCCTAAACTAGCCACTTCTCTGTTGCTGGCTGTAAGATAATATCTTTAATTAGTCTGAAACTGTCAGATGCTAGCATTTCTTTAGGTCATTCCCTTCTATTTAATTAACAGAGAAAGACACAAGCTCTTCCTTACATCAGCAGCAGAAACACATGGCTGATAATCATTGCAACTCTTGCTTTCTGGCAGTTCCAGTGTTTTTTATTTCCTCAGAAAAAAACTTTTGAGCCAAAGGCATTTGTCAAGCTAAAGACATAAAGCACAATAACAAGTGAAGATACCAGCATCTCAAGAATTGGACGATGGTATAAATTGGATAACGGTACTTGGATTGCAATTCCGGCAAAGCAAGCAGAGGAGAGCAACTAACTGGTGTATTCAGAGCCAGAAATAGACTCAGCTCGAATACCAAATGGAAGGGAGGAATTGCAGCTACATGGATATACTGCTTCTTGGCTTGATAAAGGAGCAGTCTGGGAAGCAGTCAGAACCATCCAAAAAGGAATAGAAACACACAGAAGCCTCGTCTAGAGCTGAATGCAAGCAGAAACTGCAGAAACGAACTTACTTATTAAAAGCAACTGAGCCACTCCCACATGCCCAGAGGCCTGGGGGACCCAAGTGCAACCCCTCCCTTTAATTAAGGACTCCCAATACCAGCCCCCAGTGCTTTTGATCTTCCCCTGATCATCAAGGACAGAAGTTGGATCTGTGGATTTGATAACACCTGATCACCACTTGATCACGACACCCAGTGGTGGGATTCACATTTTTTTTAACTTCGGGTTCTGTGGGTGTGGCTTGGTGGGCATGTCTTAGTGGGCGTGGCTTGGTGGGCGTGGCAGGGGAAGGATACTGTAAAATCTCCAGTCAGAGGTAGTATTTGCCAGATCTACAAACTATTTAAAATTTCCACTACCGGTTCTCCAGAACTGGTCAGAACCTGCTGAATACCGCCTCTGACGACACCTGATCATCAAGGACAGAAGTTGGATCTGTGGATTTGATAACAACAACAACAACAACAAAAGATACTAAGATGCTGAAATCGTTTCAGTTCAGTGTAGGCAGGGAGAGAATAATCAGGAGCTGGTTGGAGGCATATCCTTTGTTGTTGGCCTGCACTGTGATGCTACTCAGCCTAGTTCTTCCCAGTTATTTATTTACACAATCTCTCTCCCCGCCCCACAGGGCCCTTTTGTGCACATTGCAAGCATCTGTGCTGCTGTCCTCAGCAAGTTCTTGTCCATCTTTTGTGGGGTTTATGAGGTAAGTGTTCTGCATGCTCCATCTAGTTTGAGAGTGAGATTGCTGGGGGAGAGAACATTATAGACTATTGATGATGAAAGCAGAACTGAGGATATTAAAATGAAAAAGTTCGTTCAAAAACAAGAACCTGAACAACACAGGAAATGACAGTGAGAGGAGTATTAGGTATTTTGACTGCAATTATGTCCAGTGAAACATGGAAGAATTGCTCAAGAATAATGTAGTGCAATTGTAATTGTACTGAAAAAAACAACAACCCAGGAACAATGTTTGGCTTTTCCAAAATATCAATTTTTGTGTAAATAAAAGTTTGGAATTAGTTATAAAGGAACCATTTGAACAGGTAATCTGGCACCTGGAATGGGCTTTTAATATTCTGCACAGTTTCCTATCCTCATCCTAAAACTGAACTTTACTTACCCTGTGGAGTATCAAATCATTCTGATTTGCACCTTTTCTCCTGATAAAAAACATAATTCCAAACTTTTACAAGCATAAATATGCAGAAGAGCCAAAGATAAACAAGATTGGCTATATCTCGTCACATATGCTGGTTGCAAAAAAGAGCAGCATAATTTAGGACTGAGAGTTTTTACTTCAATTGTTACAGGAATGGTTGAATAGATGTAAATAAGGATGATTTCCCCCCACCTCATTCTTGTATTTAAGAGCAGATTCATTGAGAACAATAAACATGCAAACTGTGCTTATAGCTATGGCTGTTGTAAGCAGCTATGTCTTGAGGCTGGCTGTGACTCTATAACAGGGGTGTCAAACTCATGTCATGGTGGCATCAGGTGGCATATCGGGACTCCACCCCTCCTTCGCTAAACAAGGCATGGGTGTGGCCAGTGCGTGATGCATCCAGCCCATGGGCTGGGAGTTTGACAGCTCTGCTCTAGAAGCTTCTTGCTTCTAACCCTAGCTGCAGAAATAAAATAAATCAACAGCTTTATGACTCAGCCATGCTGTATTCTTCCAGTTGCTTAAATGCTTAGATGATTTGTTTTAGACATCATCTAATCAACCTGAACATTAATAAATAAAACTAATACAAGGAAAATACAGGAAATGGCAGCAAGGCAGGAAGAGACTGATTTCTTGTAGATCCTGGCTGCCCTTGCTACTAAAGCCAACTCACAAGGCTCTAAAAGTAGGTTGACTTTGCTGCTGGCAGATGCTTAGTATTGGCGCAGCAGGAGAAGAAAGGACTAACTCTTGCCTGTGCTCATTCTAACCCTGGCATGCCTCTCTCTGGCTGGACTCTTTGTTCCAGAACATGCATAGGCAACTGGACCTCCTGGTGGCCGCTTGCGCAGTTGGTGTTGGATGTTGCTTCGGGGCCCCTCTTGGAGGCAAGTGCATTCCTGTGTTTATACAACATGCTGATGCTCCAAGCTGAGGACATTTCTGGAAGGAAAGATGTGTTTTCTTTGTAACAGATACAAGAACTCTTGAGACACAATGGTGCAGTTATTTTATCTCATGTAACCTTGCAGGAAAATGGAAAAAATCTGAATGAGCATCCTGTGGAAATCCACAGGATGTAGCGATGGTTCAAGGAGATGACATGGGATGGACAACCAAGAAATTATTTCCATGGCAATTATATATACTTCCATTTTCCAGGTCACATTCTTCTAAGTTTTAGACAGTGACAAGGGAAAATGACTGTCCCCATTATCTCCCCCATTTGTTTTGTTTTTCTTAGGGAAAATAGGGACTTTAATTAAAATACGTTACTATGTACACTTATATGTATACTGTAGGCTATTTTCCCTTTCACCATTACCTTAAAACTGCCAAGTCAGGTACTGAAAATACTTTGTTTTTACAGCTAGTCTATAAATAACAAGTACAGTCATAACAATGATAAAATAATACTTCGGGTTAAAGACCTTAAGAAGAGATTTTGTTGTTGTTCAAGAAAATAATTTGATCCATAGGCGGTAGGGAGACAGTGAATGGTTCTTGGTATGAGATTAAGGATCTTAGAAATATTCAAGTCATTTTATAAAGATGAAATGTTAGATGAGAGATAAATTGACTTCGATTTCAATCTGGCAGCTTTTTTCCAAGAGCCCAATAAATTTAAATATTGCCATATGGAGAAGTGGAAGGTTTGTTTAATGTTGGTTTCATTGTTTATTTATTTATTTATTTGTTTATTTATTTATTTAGCTATTTATGTGAGCTGCCAAAAGTTAGAGCACAAAAGATGGGTAGTCTTAGAAGTCTTTTAAATAAATAAAAGAAACAAATAGCCTATATTAGTAACTGGAGAAACACAACTGAATCCATAAGCTAATTATAGCAGATTCTTTATCAAGTGGCCAAGAGCAGTAAATCTGATGACACCTTGATTCCCTGTCCCGCCACTTGAATAGAAAGCAATTTTTCAATATATTCAGTGAGACTAAGCCTGACAGTCAATTATCACCCTCCCCACATGGTTATACCTGACATGGATCATTATTTTCTGAAGTGACAAATAGGTATAATTTGTAAATTTGCTATTTGATTTTTGCAACTTTTCCAAACTTAATTTGGAAATGTATACTTGAATGGATAGCAAGAGAACTGCACTTAGACTTATATACTGCTTTACAGCATTCTCAATCTAGGTAGTTTACAAATGCCAGCCTATTGCCCCCAACAATCTGGAACCCCATTTTACTGACCTCGGAGGGATGAAAGGCTGAGTCAACTTTGAGCCCATCAGGATTGAACTCCAGGCAGTGGGCAGAGTTACTCTGCCATACTGCATTCAAACCACTGTGCCACCATGGCTCCAATATATATCTTTAAAACCTTACCACCACCACCCCCTGCAATCCTGGTTGGTGAATGCTAAGATTTTCTTCTTAACTTATTGATAAAGTTAATTAATACCCTTTGTTGTTTTTTCCTTGCTGAATCCTCTAAACCAGAATCTGTGTTTGGTAATTTTGAAATAAGGCATGTACTGCAAACATGAATTTGAAGTGTCTGTATAAATTTCAATGAGAGCTCTTTAGTAGATAGAATTCAGTATTGATAATAATTCTACCTATATAGAGATGACCTCTTGGTTTACCAGCTGTATTTTGGTGGCTTCAGCAATTCTCTTCCTGAACTATGTGCTTCTCTGAAGAGAGGCCTTGTTGCTCATTTGTTTCTTCTTTCTTATTTTTTGTCATCTGTGTATAGCAGTAAATCATATGAATTGGACAACAAATACAGATTGAGTCAAACCATTTCAGTTCCATCTAAGGATAGAATTTTAGCCAGATACATTACCTTTATGGCACATCCATGAATTCCAAATGGAATAACGCCTACTACTGTAATTCTAATCTTTTAATAAAATTGCTATTTAAAAAAAGAATTCCAAATGGAATGGTTCCTAAAGTGGTACATCCCTCATGAATGGTATGTCCCTCTCTCATCAATCAGATGAGAAAGCTGTTCTCATGCACAGCATCTGTTCATTGTTCACATTTTTTTTATAAAGGTTGTACTACAAAGGAGTTCATTCTAACTTACTGAAGTTACGAGATAATGCAGCAATTCCCTTTTGTAGCACATTCTCCAGTCTGTGTATTCACAGGTAAAAGCCTGTACATGAAGAACACATCCAAATTCCTATACCTTCAAACTGGAGTTTTATAATGTGTAAAGCTATTCACAACATATGCTTCTTAACCATCAACTGTTGATATACAGCAGCCTTTTTGATGTTTAAAAAAAATGTTAGACCTGAAAAGGTGAAAGCATTCTGTTTCTATAGGAGTTGAGCATTCAGATACAATGCCCCAATTTCTTGCACAAATGTATTGGAATCTGTCTGGGCCAGAATGACAGAAAACAGAAACAATGACATATACAGAATATATATAGTAAATGGGTCCAGGATGTGCTACAGAACATCAACTGATTGCCTTGTAATATTAGCTTCCAATCCTCTCACTCCTCTTCTGTCCTGTTTTTTTTTCTCTCTCTCTCTGTCTCATCTCTTCCACTAGTAGCAGCCATATTATTACACAGATGTCCTGACTGTGGGATGTGCAGTAGGGGTTGGCTGCTGTTTCGGGACACCACTTGGAGGCAAGTGGCTGCTTGCTTTTGTCTACATTTTCCAAGACACATCACACCTTCTCTCTTACATCATGCTTTAGTCTCCATTTATAAGACTCTTTATTATTAATAATATTATTTATTTTATATTGATGGCACTCTTCCTTCCCAGGATAGCACTTGGACTTATATATTGATTTATAGTGCTTTACAGCCCTCTCTAAGCGGTTTACAGAATCAGCATATTGCCCCCAACAATTTGGGTCCTCATTTTACCCACTTCAGAAGGATGGAAGGCTGAGTCAATCTTGAGCCTGGTGAGATTCGATCTGCCAAATTGTAGGCAGCTGGCTGCAGAAGTAGCTTGTAATACGGTACTCTAACCACTGCACCACAGAGGTTCCTTAGAGCAGGGGTCTCAAACACAATTTACCTGGGGGCCGCTGGAGGCAGAGTCTGGGTGAGGTTGGGCCGCATAATATTATACTTTATATTATACTTTATGTTTATATTATACACTAATATTAAACTTTCATATCACGGTGGGGGCCACAGGATATCGTCCTGTGGGCCACAATTGGCCCGCGGGCCATGAGAATGAGACCTCTGCCTTAGAGGATCCTGTTGGTCATCATTTTCCAACCCATTAAAAAGCGCTCCGTTTTTTTTTAGAATCTTAGCAGTATGAAGATTAGTGTTCATTCATGGCATCTTCTCATGCCGCTCCAATACATACTCAACTGAGAATCATGTGGACAAGGTCAATGAAATGTTCTGACAAGCCCCTTGTCACTAGGAGATAGTGATGTCACATTGGATGGGTGGTGGCCGCTTCTATTCCATCAAAACACAGGCTTTTCAACATTCATTCCAGATAACCCTGAAGTTCTTTGGATTTTTTTTTCAGTAAGAAAACAAATTTTACAATCAAGTCCAATTGCTTTAAGGAAGAGTCCCCCACCTTTTCCATCTCTGCTGCCCGGCAGCGGGAGGGGAGGGAATGATTCCATGACTCACCCACCACTTCCATGGTCCAGTTCTGAATGGTCAGAGCCTGATAGTGGGCCGTGGGTTGGTGCTACCCAGAACTTACTGTGAGGTGAACTTAATATATAATCCAGCCTCAAATGGTTCTTCCACAGGAAATATTCTTTTGATGGTAGAAAGTTGGGAAAGTAGTGAGTTAACATAAAGGGTGACTCGGGGAACTCCAATCTTGCTTACACTTGCCTATGTGGCCTTAATTCTAACTTTAAAAACAAAACAAAACTTTTGCAAAATGAAAAGAAATTAAAAGTAAACTTCGCCTTCATGCCCACTTATTGTTGTAACTCTTATCTCTTTTGCAAAAGCCTATTTTGGGGAGTGATGGCTGAGGGAAATAGTATTTGCATGCATTTTATGTGTGTGAAGTGTTATGTACTGATGAGAATTTTTATCTACTTTGTAGGTGTCCTCTTTAGCATTGAAGTCACTTCCACCTATTTTGCCGTTCGTAACTATTGGCGTGGATTCTTTGCAGCCACATTCAGCGCCTTCGTTTTCCGAGTCTTTGCTGTCTGGAACAAGGATGCAAGTAAGATAAGAAGACGCACCTCCTCCCAGCCTCTCTTGCCATTATTGCTGCCTCCCACAAGCTTTACACACAACTCCTGCAAGATTATGGGCGGTAATGGGGTAGGGGAGCATCTGTGTAAGGCAGAAAGGTTTTTAGTAACAACAGAACCATTTTTAAACAAGTGGTATTAAGGCTAAATTGTTTCACTCTTCTTGGAAAACTTATGATTATTTTTTTTTACAGTGAAGTTCTTAAAACTGAGATGATGGTAATAAAGAAGCTTCTTAGGCTTAGTTCTTAGTTCTCAGACTCTCATTGTTGGGGTACTGAGGGCCTGACTTCATGTTCTTTTTTCTTCCCTGGTCACCCTGGTTGTCTCTTCTCTCCATCCCCTCTTCACAGTCACCATTACAGCCCTCTTCAGAACAAACTTTCGCATGGATTTTCCCTTTGACCTACAGGAGCTGCCGGCATTTGCTGTAATAGGGTAAGCCCACTGGAGCACACTTTAATGCAGTTGTGTGTGTTTGGGGGGGTGTTTGCAGGGATGAAGAAAGGCAAGCCGTATTGAAAGTTCTCCGTATGAAGCAGAGTTAAATTAAAAAGTTCCATATTAGAAACAGGTAAGGTCTCTTGAGTCCTACTCAACTCTTAAGGGGATTTCATAGATATGTTAATGCAGGTTCTTGGGAACAGTACAGAAGTGGTTAGTCATTGCCCTCTTCCCAATACAATTCAAGCTCTTCTCACACCTGTATTTCAAGCCGCCTTATAGTAGCAAATATATGCATCCCAGAATAATGTTGCAATCTGGGTCCAATCTGGGTCAGTAACCAGGACTAGTGGTTTAGTCTAAACCTCTGGTCCACACGCAAGACCACACTGGGAATACTACATCCAGTTTTGGTCGCCATGATATAAAAAAAGATGTTGAGACTCTGGAAAGAGTGCAAAGAAGAGCAATTAAGATGATTAGGAGGCTAAAACACATGAAGAACAGTTGCAAGAATTGACTATGTCTAGTCTAGAAAAGAAAAGGACTGGGGTGACATAATAGCAGTGCTCCAATATTTGAGGGGCTGCCACAAACAAGGGGGGGGGTGTCAACTGATTTTCCAAAGCACTTGTAAGCAAAACAAGAAACAATGGATAGAAACCAAGGAAAGAAGCAACATAGAACTAAGGAGAAATTTCCTGACAGTGAGAACAATCAACTAGAGGAAAGTCTTGCTGTCAGGAATTTTGGGTGCTCCATCATTGGAGGCTTTTAAGAAGACACTGGCCATCCATTTGTCTGAAATGGTATGGAGTCTCCTGCATGAGCAGGAATTTGAACTAGAAGACCTCCAAGGTCCCTGATGATGATGATGATGATTCTTTTGGATTCATGCTGGACCCATCCTCGGGGGTCTTCTCTCTACCAGAATGTGTGCTTTGGGCTATTCTATGTGTCATTTTTGTGTGGTGCCTATTTGATTGGAATGTTGATTGGCGTGTTGATTGGTGTGTTGATGGCCATTTATTGGCTATTGTTTCCTTGTGCTGCCAAGTCCTTGGCTCCTAAGTACCTTATCAACTGGTGGTAAATCAGCACTCCTGTTGCCTGACAAGGAACTGTTTTGCTTTTGTTTGGAGAAACAGAGATTACACACTGCTTTGGGATGATCAGATGCAAAAGAAAACACTAGATATTGGTGTTAGATTTCTATTCTGCCTTTTCTACAAATTATATAAACAATCCCTTCCTCAGTTTTAGAGACTTGTGAGCTAAGTTGTGCTGAGAGATGGTGACTGTGACTCAAAATTATTTGGTGGATTTCCATGACTGAGATCATCATCTTAAAATTTTTGTTTGTGCAGTTTATCATACAGGATTGAGAAATATTGCAGGTGCAGAAAAGCTGTTTTGTTGCATTTCTTTGTATGCAACCCGACATGCAAGCCTTTTTGCAAGCCTTTGTATGCAAGCCTTTTTCATCAAAACAAACTTTGAAATTCACTCCTGACAGAATTCATTCAATGATTAGTTTGTAGCCCTAATGGCATGTTTACGCACATGTAGCTTAAGAATAAGCTGCGGCTGATATTCTAGTCTTAGTTTAGGAACCCCAAACTCTTTCTTGCTTTGCCAAGAGTTTCAGTGCTGAGTTGCAGTTGTAGGTCCTGAATCTTTAACCAAGTAACTCAAAAAGTAGTGATTCCTCTAATTGTTTTTTGATCTCTTACAGCTCAAGAATATGTGGTTGTTCAATTTAGCTATATTAATGGGGGGAAAAAAAATCAGAATTAGAGTATATACAACGTTATGTGTACATTCTCTGAAACATATATTACTGTGGAATAGTGTTTCTTAAACTTTTTTCTCTTAAGACCCTTCCCACTTCTAAAGATTAGGAAGGACTCGAAAGAGCTTTTGTTTGTATGGGCTATATTTTAATGATATTTACTATATTAAAAATTAAAGCCAATGAATTCAGTACCGCAATTGCTACTCATGATTGATTGATAGGATGTTAATGTTGTATTATTTTTCAACATCATTTTTAACATCATGTTAAATAATTTTGATTTCGAAGACTCCTGAAAAAGTGTTGGGAGCCCCCACCCCACCCCCAGTGTCCTATGACCACTTGTTCAGAAATAATACTGTACAGTAGGAGATTATCTTGGGAGATATCTTAGTTTTATGATCAGATGAACATCCAGCTACAGTATTGAAAAGCAAGCTATGGGGATATATAAAGAAGGAGGGCCACTTCTGGAGCATAAAAATCATAACAGATTGGACCAATATTGTTAGAGATCCAATTCTGAGGTGGTAGACCACGTTTTATCATTTTGAACTGTATTTTAAAATGGATGACATCTCTGAATGTTCCCCTTGCAGTAAAACAGGATGCAGAAACAGGGCTGAGATCTCCAGTAATGATACAGCCAATTTTTTGTCACATAAATTAACCATTGAAACAGATGCCCTGCAGCCAGAAAAGTTATGTGCCATTTCAAGATTTTAGTATCTTAATCAATAAGGTTTATTTCTCTCTGGTTGCTTATGCCTTCTGGATATACTGTTGAACTTAAATATAAATGAATGTGCAGAATTCAAAATGGAATATATTTTGCTAGTTATCCTTGAACTTTTCTGGAAGAATCTGATTGGCTGTTGAAAAATTAGCTATAGATTTTTAAATCTAATTTTAACAGTGTTCTTATGTAAATTCAAAGCCTAGGATTAATTTTATTTTTCAAATCTTCTATTATAGGATCTGTTCTGGGCTCCTTGGAGCATTTTTTGTTTATTTTAATCGACAGGTGGTTTTAATTGTCAGACAACATGCTACTCTAAGTCGGTTCCTAACCAAATAGTGAGTATGCTTTGCTAAATTATTATGTTTTAAGTTTAAGATTGATGCTATGTTTTCTTTTCTATAATACATAAATTAGCTTGGCTAGCATTAAAATTTGCCTTTTACTGCCTTTTTTTAATAATTGGAGGAACTATAATTCAGAAAATGTTCTTAACATAGGACATTAAAAATATATTGTCTTAAAGTTTATTGTACTTCAAGAGCTTAAGGTAGATGGCCAATTGAAATATTTATTTTTGTCTTACAGTAAGTAGGACATTGTTAAACTAAAGCTAGATTTGCTGTCAGGTAGGACTAATAAATCTGGGCTGTAAATATCCTAGAGATGCCAGCAAAGAAATAGATAACATTCTATCTATTGTTTATTGTCTACTGATCAATTGAATTTTTGCAATTCAGATCTGGATATTTAGAGAAAAATGTTCAAGGGATAGACAACTGGTAGAAACTGTTGATTGGTTCAGATTAAATAAGAAACTCTTCCGATAGATTAGTGTTTATCTTACTTCCTGATAAGTGGCTGGATTTTTTTTTTTTTTTGTATTTAACTTACACTGATGTTTAGCTAAGAGGAAACCATTCCACACATTCTCTGGAATCAGTGTTGAACGCACTGGCTGAGCCCTTGCATTCTACATAGCATATGCAGCATCTTTCAGAGACTGGTGATAACCCAGGGCGTGGCACGAAAGCAACACAGGCAGAGAACAGGTCTAACTTTCCTTTATTGCACCAACTATGCCCCCAAATGTCCCCACGTTTACTACAAATCTTGGACCAAAGCTCTCACACGCACCTTCAGCAGCCTCTGGTTGCAAGTAATCCAGTAAGCAAGGTTAGCCGAACAGGCAACAAGGACAGCAGTCAAATAAGTCAGATTTAGCCAAACAGTAACCAGGGCCAGCAGTCCAATAAGCCAGGTTTAGCCAAACAGTAGTCAGGGCCAGCAGTCCAGTAAGCCAGATTAGTCGAAGAGTAACCAAGAGCAAGAAGTCCAGTAAGCCAGGCAAACCAGGCAAGCCCCACAAGACAGAGCACAGGAATTTCCAATTGTTGGCAAGTGCACACAAGGCTTCATAGATTCAATACTTGTTCCCAATAAATGCCCCTTCCACCGGCACCTCCTCACATCACAGTTCCTAGGTGTGCCTTGTGAAGGGTGGCTTGGCACTCTCCTCCCTCGTAGCCGGCTCAGTCTGCGTTGGTCTCGCCTTCTCTCTTCTCTCCATGCTCTAGGATCAGGAGGGGGTGGTCCTTGCTCTTCTTCTGAGCTCTGTCTCTCCTGCTCCTCCCTGTCTGCAAGCCTTTCCAATCCTAAAAAGCCTTGCCTGGACTGATTCTGCTCTTCCCCCGTTTTCTCCAAGGCCAACGGAGCCGTTCTCTTGATCTCTATAAGCTCTTGTTCAAGCTCATCTTCCCCCACAGATTCAGGTTCCTACGAGGGCATGACCAGATCATTGTATAAATGTAATTCCTGTTTTTATTTTTCAGCCGCCTCGTGTATCCTGGGGTGATAACTTTTGTGATAGCTTCTCTGACATTCCCCCCTGGCTTTGGACAGTTTATGGCTGGAGAAGTGAGTATTCCACTTATCTGTATAGTTATTTATCACCTAACTTTATGGTGTTGTTCTTCATTGCCTGACATTCTAGGACAATGTACAAATATAAATAATAGAATTTATAAAAGCCCAATAAAATTAACAGTTGTAATAACACAGTGTATAAAAATACATACCAAGTGTCTGTTTCATATAGTGTAGGATACAGCATTTTCCATTTGCACTTACTTTTCAAATAGCACTAACACTTCTTTGTTTGTGCTAGCATACTAGTGGTGAATAAACTCTTGCTTTTCCTTCTATTTTGTTTGCATGCTGAGAAGAAAAGCAATGATAAATCCCTTCTTTTGTTGTATGGGATAAGGGCAGGCAGGGGATTCTGCCTCTGAAAAAATAAGATCTAAATTCATTCTGTCCAGGTTCATATTAAGCCATGGTTTCATGGTTTACTGAATGAATTGCAAATAGAGCAAACTGGGCTCAATAAGGAGCTTTGCTATTAACCATGGTTTACAAATCACAATGGCTAAGTTCACACAGCATGTGGGCCCAACACATTATGGCTTAACTTGATGTATGAAAGCTAATATTTTTTATGCTGTCAGGAAATCCATAATTGTTCTACTAAAGACCAAGGATGAATTCCACAGGAGCAGTCTCCAAAGAGAATTTTGCTCACAGCAATCTTATGCACTCTTCTTTCTCTTAAACAGTTGTTCTCTGCTTGCTGGAAAAAGAGGACATCTTCAAAACAATTAAAGAAAATATAAATAATATCCTGGATTCTGAAAAAATAGAAATTACATTTGGATTGTTGAAGGAGCTGTCAGATGGGATTGCAAATATGATCAGGGATTGAGACAACCTCCTTTCCAGCCATATAAGACTTGGCTGATTTCAAACTGGGAATGATTATTGCAGAAGAAATAGTATTTGGCTTATCTCTTGGGCACTGCAGTTCTAGAACTTGTTAGAAAAGAAAGCTGCCTCCCAGTTCCCAGTGTTTTGCCTTAAAGCTGAATGTTGGGACATGATGGCTTAGTGGCTAAGACGCTGAGCTTGTCAATCAGAAAGGTCGGCAGTTCAGTGGTTCAGATCCCTAGCGCCATGTAATGGAGTGAGCTCCCGTTACTTGTCCCAGTTTCTGCCAACCTAGCAGTTTGAAGGCATGTTAAAAATGCAAATAGAAAAATAGGGACCACTTTGGTGGGAAGTTTTCCGTGTGCCTTCGGCATTTAGTCATGCTGGCCACATGACCACAGAGATGTCTTCAGACAGCGCTGGTTGTTTCAGTGGTGTTATTCAACCGGTTCGCACCGGATCAGGTGAACCGGTAGCAAGAATTTGGCATGGGTCGCCGAACCAGTAGTAAGTTCTGGATGGCCACGCCGCCAATATGGTCGCCCTCTCGCCCAATGCTTGTTTACCCACCTGCCCACCTGACATTCGCCTAAGGTATTTTTTTTCCCTCCCGACAATCAGCTGTGCATAGATCGGGATTCCCCTTGCTGAGGCCCAGGAAGGCAAAAAATGGAGGGAGGAGCTGAGGCCCCCCCCCCCATTTTTTGCCTTCTAGAGCTCCAGAGGAGCCTTAAGGGCACAAAAACACCCCCGCCCCCAGAGGCTCCTTTGAGGCTAGGAAGCTCCCAAAAATGGGTGGGGGTGGCAAAAAAGCAAAAATAAAAATAAAAAGCCATGCCCACCAAACCACACCCACAGAACCAGAAGTAAAAAATGTTGAATCCCACCACTGGGCTCTTTGGCTTTGTAACACTGCCCCCTAGAGCTGGAAACAACTAGCACGTATATGCAAGGGGAACCTTTATCTTTACCGGAATGTTGGCATCTTGTTAAAATCCTCCAAATCTGATTCAAGATGGGTGGTCCTTTTCAAAATAGCAGTTTTACAAAGGGGCAAAGGTTTTACTTTGGCACAACAGTAAAAAGATGGGAAAGAGCATTGGCTGGCTAGCAGTTGAGCACCATTTGGAGCATCAGTTCTGTGCTTCTCTGTTGACCAGGATTGTTGATTCTCTGTGAGGCTAGAGATTTTCAAAGAAGCAGGCATGCTGTGGTGGTTGTATCCCGAGAACCAAGAGTCATGTAAATGACTTTTTCAAGCCTGGTTTTGTTTTGATATATGATCTGGACTGGAGGCTTGGATGACAGAAAGTCTGTTTGTTCAAAAGTGGCCTCCAACAAATGTAATTAGGCTTTTTTTGTATAAAGAGATCCTGCAGCAGCATGGAAGGGCGACAGAGCATGGTTCTGTCACAGAATACATCTTTCTAAGGCTCTTCAGTTTCATAACAAAAAGCCAAAACAATTATATTTTTTTGCACATCTACAATGAGATACCATGCTTGAAGTGAAAATATGCAATGCAAATTTGCATAATTTATGCATATCAAAATGTCAGTGTCTGTTGCTAAATTTGCCTCACTGTGGTAGGGAAGAATCTTCTCTTGAGAGATAAGCCTAATTGCCTTTTCTCCTTGTAGTTGATGCCCAGAGAAGCCATCAGCAGCCTCTTTGATAACTTCACTTGGGTAAAGCACACAGAGGACCCACAGATTCTGGGGAGATCTGCAGTTTGGATCCATCCCAAAGTCAGCGTCTTTGTCATCATCTTGTTGTTTTTCCTTATGAAGGTAGGGAGATAACCTGGCAGGGCAATTTCAATGTTGTCCCCACCATATTACGAGCCATTTCCCATGAGCAGAATCAAAGAACTGTGAAGACTTCAATTCCTGGTTTACTTTTGTAGAGAAATTCAGTTTTGCCGTTGCCCGAACATTTTATCTCAATGCTATTTGACTTCCCACCCTTTTTTTTTTCAGTTAAGGTTTGTGCAAGCAGTACTGCATAAAATATAGTTTTAATGCCAGATTTCCAATGTGAATGGTCAAAATGATATTGTAACAACCATTCCTTAAAGTAAGCGCTTTGTTCCTTGCTCTTTTATTTATAGTGTAAATAAGTTGCTCCTTGAATTTATCCTTAAATGGCTATCATTTATTCTTTTTTTTTTTTGTAAATTTTATTTGAGTTTTCACAAAGAGAAAAAAAGTACAAATAAAACATCTTTTTTGAAAGTAGCATAATCCCAAGTTACATTTCTTTGTACAGATAGAAATTCAGGTTCATGCTCATTTTTATATTCTATTCCATATCTTATTACTATTTTACATTTTCTGCATAGCTTCTCCCCTCTTTTAATTTTCTCAATTTTATTTTAATTATCTCATCTCAATTCTAATCATTGTATTTATATTTTTTGTCTGTCCTGTTTCAATTATCTATTATCTTTTCTCATTAAACAAAATTTCTCCTGTAGTTACTGATTGGAGTATAACGCCTTTATATCTTTTAAGTTTATCCGTTTAACTCTTATTTAGGCTTCAATATATACCCTAAAGTTATAACATTCAATATAATACATAACTTCCATTCGGATTCTGCTTGGTACATTCTTAAAATACACACTATATTCTTAAAAAAAGAAAAAATTATAAATGTATGTGATTAAAACAACACATTCCATTCCAATTCAATTCTATCATTAATGTTAATATTCATTAAAGTCTTAACTTCTTTAACATTACTTTCCAATTAAATATCATACTTCTATGGGAACAATTATAAGCTTTCCATAATTAATTCCTCCCCCTCTTCACTTATATTTTATAAAACATTAACTAATTAAAATGTTCCCATTCCTTCCTAATTCAATTTTCTCATTTATTTTATTTCACTTATTTTATTAACAAACATTTCACTAAATTACACTATTTCATCCCTCATTTTAATCATACATTGTTTCCAATTTTCTAAAGTTATTTCTATTACTAATATAACAATACAATGTTATGTACCTTTACAGAATCCCTTTTTCAGTTAGATTTTCACCCATTATCTCTAAATAGGACCTGTTTCTCTATCTCTTGCTCCAATCCTTTGTAACTTCTTTTCCTTTCCTTCTTCCCTCTCTTCTTCTCTCTCTCCTTTTTACCCCCTTGTCTCTCTACCTCTATTTCTCTCTTCTGTATTCCCCTTTTCTGTTGCTTTCCAGTATTATACTTATTTTTTGAATTATTTTTCTTTTCTTTGGTTGTTTTTTTAAGTCTTAAATTCTCCATTCTCTTCCCCCCCCTTTCCTTTTTCTTCCCCACATAAAATCACTTGTTCATTAAAGATGGCTTCTTCTTTGTCCCAGTCTTCTTGTTTTGCAGACATTTCTTGTTGTTTCTCATAGTTCCAAATCTCCATTTCTAAGAATTGAAAAATGAAGCCAAAAGAACCCTTCCCTTCTTGTGCATCTTCTTTGTACTTTTTAAGTTCCATTTTCAATTCATCCAGAAGTGGTGCCATTGTATAAATTTTTAAACAACCACCCAATTAATTTTAGTCATTCAAATGTAATAACCAAGAAGATCACCAAATAATCCAAATACACGCAAGCTGTTTCTTTTTGCTCTTTTTTTTTCACTTTCTCTTCCTGGGGTTACTGTCTAGTTAGAAAGTTTCAGTTAAAATGTATCTTTTAGAAGTCTTGTTGAAGTTTTACTGTAGATTCTTTTTAATTCCAGGCAGTCTCCTCCCTCTTCCAGATCCTGCCGTTATTCTTTTTCTCTCCCTTCCTGCTTATGAAAAAAAAAATGTTTAGTGTCCAGAAAAGGACATTTTGTTTTATTTTCAGCTTAATTGCCTATTGATGTCAAAGCGGATTTTTCCGATTTCTTATTTAAGTCTCTTGGTTATCAGTATAGGGAAGGAGAAAGAAGAAGAAAAAAGCCAAACCTTTCCCTTTTCACTTTCCTTCGCTGCTTCCGACTCTTCTTTGGGAGCGATGTTATTTTTTTGTAAGTTTAAATTCCAGGGTACCTTAGTTGTTGCTTTTACAATTTAACCCTGTCAGCCAAAACTTTCACTTCTAATCTTCCTTCTGCACATTCTTTTCCGGTCGAGTTCTTCTTTGTGGTGGCCATTTTTGACCACCGCTGCAACCGCCTTCAGGAAAGGGAGTAATGGCCAGCCGAGGAGGAGAGATGCGGCTCTCCTCAACCCTGCTGGCTGTCTCCCCCCTCTTCACCACCTCTACGGGGTGGCTTAGCCCTGAAACCAGCTGGCTCAGGGCGCTCTAGCGGCGAGCCCAGACCGAAACCGCGGATGATCGCAGATTTCTGTCTGTCGCCGAAGAAACTTCAAAGCAGAACCCCTGGCTATCATTTATTCTTGTTCCACTGGGAGGAGGCTTTTGTCCTTTATTTCTTCCTAATGAATGAATTTGTGAATTTATGCAGTATAAAAAATAATAAAAGTTAATTATTTTCTATGTTCATCCATTTTATTTTTTAAAAAGGGATTTACATAAATAGAATTTACTTTAGTGTACTCTATGGGAATTTGGCCATATTTACATGTATTGGTGCACCATATGGAACATACAAAGCTATGCTAAGTGCTACAGAAATCAACATTTTATTTTTGCATCCAGGTGACTATGGGAAAAGGACTATTTTAGGTTCACGACAGATCAAGGTTTAGAAGCCATCTACATCTGAAGCCTTATTTCCATCCCTTGTGGAACAAATATTTTTTTAGAAAATTGTGGGATGGCAGCCACGTAGTATGTTATCTAACCTAAGGGGAGTTTCAAAAGAAGAAGAGTTTATGCTACTATTTTAAAAAAGTGTTGAACTAATTGATTCACAACACACTCACACACCCACATACCACTAAATGGAAGACAGCAGTTTGTCAAATCAACGGAGATGGATTGGTCTGGACTCCTGCTCTATAATTTAACAGCCATATGATCTTTCTGCTCTACATCACAATAGCTGCTCCAATATACCATAGCCTATGGGGGAGGAGAAATGTTCCTTTTTAGAGAAGCCCATTATGTGGGGAAGAGGACCAGAGAGAATAGATTAGAAAGGTAGTTGTTGAAGAAGATTCCTTGGAGGATGCTTGGTTGCGCCCTGCTCCTTTGTTCCAGTCAGAGTAGAAGACAGGGACTCTGCTGAAACCTTCATCTGCCCTCAAGCTATTTCTTGAGGCTGCCCTCAAGCTATTTCTAAAAGAGAGGTGGGGGGGAGAGAGAAAGACAAACACACACATACACACACACACACACACACAGAGAGAGACAGAGAGAGAGAGTGCTCAATAACCATGGTTGCTTATTACCCCTGTCCTAGTTCTGGATGTCTGTCGTTGCCACAACTATGCCAATACCCTGTGGAGGCTTCATGCCAGTGTTTGTGCTGGGTAAGTTTTAATCTTTTTGTGAAAACTTTCAGGCAGATTGTGATGGAGGGAATTGCTGGTAGAGTCGTATATAAAAGCAGAATTGTGTTTCTATGAAATGACTGAATGTCCTGAAGCCATTTCTCCTTCCCTCAATCTATTCCTATTTTACCTACATACCACTTTCGTATGTCCTTCAAGTTCTGTAAATGATTGGGGCAGTCCCATAAGTGATGATCTATTTATCTTCTGTTCCAAGATACTTTCTTGGACAGGTTAATAGAGGACTAGCACTGGAAAACATGAAAATCTGACTCTTTGGCAAACCCCAATGTAGGCTACTTTGAGTGCTCAGAAATAGCAGCGATGCCCACTCTTTCTATTCTGGCATAAAAGGAGGCAAGGATGGGTGTTGCTTAAATGCTGGATGTGACTCGTTTGCCCTTCTTCAAAATATTATTAGGACATGAGAGTGTTTTAGTGACTCTAATAAAAGACAGTTTAGAAACTACCTTTCTTGGATTTTAGGGGCTGCTTTTGGACGCTTGATTGGCGAAATCATGGCCTGGCTTTTTCCTGATGGGATTATCTTTGATGGCTTTGTTTACAAAATCTTACCTGGTGGTTATGCAGTAATTGGTAAGTGTAGGACCTTCTTCCTGTCTCTGGTTCCTGTTGTGATCCAAGTGATGCTAACTTTGCCCCCTTTTCCCTTGTCCTGTTCTGCCACTGGGAAAGGAGCTGCAGCTCTCACGGGTGCTGTCAGCCACACTGTCTCCACAGCAGTGATTTGCTTCGAGCTGACCGGTCAGATTGCCCACATCCTACCCATGATGGTGGCCGTCATTCTTGCCAACATGGTGGCTCAGAGTTTGCAGCCAAGCCTTTATGACAGCATCATCCAAGTGAAGAAACTGCCCTATTTACCAGACTTGGGCTGGAACCAAATAAGGTACTTAGGGCTGACCAAGAAGGGAGGGAGTATGCTAAAAGGTGGTGAGATGTTCAAGAGGAGATAGAGATGTTCTGACCCAGGCTTCAGCAAACTTAATTAATTACAAACTTCTTTAAAAAGCAAAACCCATTTTATTGCAATGCTGGGAATTGTTTCCATTCCCAGCCAAAACTAATCTTAAACAGTTCCCCAAGATAAGCACACACTTTCTAGTTCTGTGGAATGCGGCCAAAAACAGAAGTATCCAAATTAACTATAAAAGAAACCAACCGAAGTACAAGAAAAAACCAACCAAAGTACACAGAGCTTGAGGATGAGTTGGAACCGATCGAACTACTTTGCTTCCTGCAAAGGTTTCGTCATTTGGGCCTGACTTTTATCCCTTATGGGAGGGGCCATCACCTCCCAGCCTTACTCCCGAGTTGCCCCTTTTGTTTCAGCTGCTCTCACCTTCTAGCAGCTCTGCACAAACGCACACTGGGAACAGGCTACCCAGGGTCCTCTGCTTCGCTGCTGCCAGGCTCTGAAGGCTCCAAAGGCAGCACCCCACTCCCAGATGGTCCTGGCCCCATCCCTGCATCAGATGCAGGACCCTCATCCAGACTCCTGGATTGGTCCCCTTTCTTCCTCACTGTCCGATTTTGCTTCTGTCTGCACCGGCTGCTGGCAAACCACAACAAGAGATCAATTCAATCCCAAGCAACAAAGCAGGTGGCCCATAGATTGGAATGTATTTATTTTGAAATAATCTATTAGCCAATGTATCAGTTATGGCAATCCATAGCTCAATAGCTACTATAAAGACTTTTAAGTGTGGATGATTTGAAGTTTGGCTCTTTACATGATATCCTGAACCAGAAAGCAGCTAATCACATCTTTGCTTAGCACCTTGAACAGAAATGGATCCCAAAATGGATCAAGTAAAATACAGTTCAGTTATGTTTGGGACACAGTGTGAATTCACAACTCCCCAAAACCTCAATTCATTAAAAATAGGTCAACTTTGTTAGTAGAGTGAACACCCAGGAAGTGTATTACGGCTGTCCATTAAGAATCTTTGGTTCTTTTTTAACTCCTGGAAATAGGGTGGTGGGTCTGAAATTTCAAGCTGCCTAATGGCCTGAATGGAAAGAATTTCAGAAAATTATGTCACTTCTTCCTCTCTGAGCCCTAAGAAATAATGGTCTCTGTTTTGCCACATGGCTGCCCCCAGGCATTTGTAATAGCTCCTATGTTCCTTTATTGGGAACAGCTCCTATGTTCCTTTGTTTGTGTGTTCATTTATTTCTTGTATTTATATGGTTGCCCAACTCAAACAACCTGACTGCATGGCATACAAAGACCAGTAAATGAAAATATCAAGGGAAAAAAAAAAAGCAAAAAAGAGCAATTAAAGCATTTTTTTTCTAAAAGCCTGTGGGGTTTTATGTTTTAAAAACATTGTTTTTCTGTTTCAATATTTTAATGACATCCTTTAGGCTTTAATTAGTAAGATTTTATGGTAACTTTTTGATAGGAAGTAGCTTTCAGCAAGGGCTCAAAGTATGACATGAATAAATAACTCTCTTTCTCCCATTTTACTTATTCTTTCTTAATTTTTAACTTATACCCATTCAAGCAAATACAATATTTTTGTTGAGGACATTATGGTGTCTGATGTCAAATTCATCTCCTCTAACTGTAAATATCGGGATCTGAAAGATGTACTCCAGAACACCACTGTCAGCACGTTTCCTCTGGTGGATTCTCCAGGTGAGCTTTGTAGGGAAACATATCGATTCCTGTTTTCAATTAAAGCAATCTAGCCAACTGAGTTTCAGGAAAAGGCTCCTCCAGGATATACTTTTGTCCACTCCAAGCATTTCCGATCAGTCATTTGATGGGTTTTAATTAAGAGATGTAATTCTTTTAAGTGTTGATTTAATTGTTTTTTAGATCAGAGTTTCCGACTACATTTATGATGGCTACTAGCTCTGTGGGAATGTCCAAGCAAAAATTTGCTCTTCCATTGAAAAAAAAAATCCAGCTGGTTAGCAGATTTTTTAAATATTCATGCATTGTTTTGAAACAAATATATTAGGGCAGAAACAGGTTGAAATAAAATTTGCTGATTACCTCTTCCTAGTAGAGAGGCAGAGCCAAAAAGGTGAAAAGGGGGGAGGGGCAAAGAAGGATTAATATGATTTTTTTCCAGACCTTTCTAGAATCTGAGCACTAGAGATTTGGGAGTGGCATCAATGGGGAGAGATTATAACACTGGTGATAAATTGGTAAACTTTGTATATATACCCCACATACAAACCCCTAAACACAGACCCCACCACCTACCTAGAAAAAACCACCAGATCCAAAATAAAAGCCTCTCCCATCAGCGAAGAAATCCAGCAAAGAATCATACCCAGAGAGAAATCATCCAGATGCCCTAAGCTTTATGGTCTCCCCAAGATACACAAAGAAGGAACCCCACTTAGACCAAAAGTCAGTTCCATAGGCTCACCTCTACAAAACCTAGCCAAATTTCTCACCAAACAACTACAGCCCTATGCAGAATCCATCAACTCACACGTAAGAAACTCATTCCTGTTCATCGAGATTATAAAGAAACAAAACTTACAACCCAGCGACCTACTAGTGAACTTCGATGTCATATCCTTCTTCACCCAAGTGCCTATAAAAGAAGCCTTGACAGCAATCCAGAACAAGTACATCCTAGATCTGACCAACCACTGCCTATCCAATACATACTTCACCTACAATGGACAAAAATACAAACAAATAGAAGGAGCACCCATAGGATCACCCCTCTCACCTGTCACCGCAAACCTCTACATGGAACACTTTGAAACACAAGCTCTAGAAAAATATGATCACAAACCCAAACTCTGGCTCAGATACGTAGATGACACCTTCATAATCTGGCCACATGGGAAAGAAAAACTGAACAACTTCCTCACACACCTCAACAGCCTACACCCCAAAATACAATTCACCATGGAAACAGAAGCTAACAATCAACTTCCCTTCCTAGATGTCTTAGTATACAAAAAATCCAATGGCTCCCTAGGACACACCATATACCAGAAGAAAACACATACAAACTGCTATCTACATGCACTCTCACACCACCACCCAGCACAGATCAATTCCGTAGCCGAGACACTCATCTGCAGAACAAAATGCTTAGCTGACGAACAACACCTAAAAACTGAACTACACATTCTCACTAACGTATTACAGCCAATGGATTCCAAAGAAAGAAGAATACCCACCTAATCCAAAAACAAATCCCAATCAAAATCCAAGACAGAGAAAAAGAGAACGGCAAAGCCCTCCTCCCATATATAAAAGGCACTACAGACAAAATCACCAAGATCCTCCAAAACACAACATTAAAACAGCATTCTGCACAAACAGAAAAATATCCACCATCCTAAGAAACCCTAAAGACAAAATCGAGTTAGAAAACCAAGGAGTATATGAAATCGCTTGCACTGCGTGTCCCACCACATACAACGGACAAACTAACAGAAGAATAAGTGCATGCATTGAAGAACACAAGAACTCAATCAAAAAAGAAGAACCGACCTGTTCCCTGGTCCAACACTTCAAAGCCACAGGACATGAGATTGACTTTAAAAATACCAGAACTATCGCCAAAACCGAACACTTCAACAACAGAATAATCAGAGAAGCCATAGAGATAGAAAAATGCCCACACAGCATGAATAAATGAGATGATACCTCCTGCCTACCAGCCATTTGGAAACCTGCCCTCATTAACAAACGAGTACCTAACATGAAGAATGACACCAGACCCACACCCATGAGGGCCACACAAGATGCTACCACCACACTTCCACATAGAAAGCAGACTCACACCCACACAGAAGATGAGACATGACCACGGACCAGAAGCCGTACCGCAGCTGCATCACTACCCGCTTCAAACCCCTCCGACCCATACATGAAGCGAACTGACGCCCACCATGAAGATGTGGCACGACCACGAATGTGAAGCCAAACAACAGGATCACAGCTCACCAGCTCAAATCCCCCGGCAACTAAGACTAACCTGAGCACAACCAAGCCCCCACCTGAACAGAACACACCCCCAGCCAATCAGAACACAGCCAACCCCCCAACCAATCAGAACACAGCCAACCCCCCAACCAATGAGAACACATCCCCACCCAATCAGAACACAGCCAAGCCCCCACCCAATCAAGTCACACCCCCACTACCAATTAAAAGGAAGAAGCAGCTGCAAGCTCACATTACTCCGAGAAGCACAAAGCCGAAGACACAAGCCTGAAGATGATGAATGAGACTTCATCGAAACGTCACCTAGATACTTCCAATTTTACGTGGGAGAAAACCCGAATAACCAAAGATCCACATACAAATACCCGTGAAAACCTCAGAAAACACACACACACACACACACACACACACACATATATGTATACATATGCATATACATATACATACACATACATACATACATACATACATACATACATACATACATGTTTTGGCAGAATCTCACAAGCCTGAGGATGGCAGATGATATCGACATTTTGGCAGAATCTCATCTGCCATCCTCAGGCTTAAAACTATAGATATATAGTTTTAAAAAGGGCTACCAGACACATTCTGATATTCTATCACCATAGATGAACCCAGCAATCCTCCTATCATGTGGGTTGAAGAAATTGCACTGAGAATTGGCAACAGAGAGGGCCAATTGCCATAGAATGCCTGGATAGTAAGGTTTGGTCACTAATCACCTTGCATTAGGATCCATTGCAACTACAGGGGATTGGTGCCAAATACTGAATTGAATCAGCAGCAGCTGCAGTCCTGTAAGGAAATCTCACTCTGATGGAAGAGAAGGAGGAGGAGGGAAAGAGGGGGCAATGTATTTCTGGAAGGGGTACATGAAGGCCGCTTCATGGTCAGAAAGCTTCAATGATAGTTGAGGAGATAACAGATAACTGGACTGCAAAATACAGGACCTTGGTAGTACATTGATGAATGTCTTTGGTTGCTATTTTGTTTTGGAAGTACATTGATTTTATTATTGTTTTTAATTTGTATGCTATCCTAAGTCTTTGTGAGTTGGGCAGCTGTGCAAGAAAAATAATAATATAGATGGCAGAAAAAAGGATTGAGAGAAGTAACAGATCACCTGCATTTTTGCAGTCCAAGGAGCTGGTGATAGCTGCCCTAGCATTATTGAGATGACATTTGTTAGCTCCAGATCAAATGTTTATATAGTTTTAGATTCCACTCATTCTTTTACACCCTAATCATGACTGAAGAAACACTTTGATTCTAGCAAGACTCTGGAATGGTGTTCCTTTGTCTGTTACTTCTCTACAATGGAACCTCAATAGTTGGTTCAGAGCTATATTCTGAATTTGTTGAATGTTTCAAGAATGCGCATGTCTAGGCTGAGGAGAAGTAGTGTGGACAAAGCAGAAAGTAGATATGCCCAGAGTGTCTTAATTTCTAACTACTTTTTTATATAAATAGATTCCTGCCATGTTTCCTCTCTTCCATTTTCTCCATTTCTAAAATTGAATTTCATTTAATGCACTTCTCTGAGTCTTCTCATATGAAAGGAATGCTGCCTACTGTTAGATTCTTTCTCATTGGGAAACAGATCAGTTTTCCAGAGTTCTCCAAGCTCTTCCAAATATATGGAAATCTGCTGTTCTATAACATATGATGAATCAGCCTTCTGAGATGTAGTCATTGATATTTTTCAATTTTCCTCTGACCTGTTTTCCTACAGCCCAGACCTGATACTAGCCATGTTTAAGAGAGTTATGAGGTGATTGTGAGATGGAAATCTCCTGGAGTTACCTTCCTAAGATATGGCTGGAGCTTATAGTTTAGTTGTGTTCTTAGAATAAAATGTATCTAAAATCATAAGACAACCCAGAGACATTATTAACTGTTCTTCATAAAGGTGTAAGGATCATCATATAAAATTGATTCATAAGCTGAAGATCTGTCAAGTGACTCTCTGATCATCCCTGAATTTTAGACCTTAGATTTTCTTATTTGCTTTCCCCGTCTCTAGATTCCATGATTCTAATGGGCTCCGTGGAGCGAACTGAGCTCCAGGCTCTGCTGCTCAGACACCTCAGCCCAGAGCGACGCCTGCATCTTGCCAGGGAGATGCCACAGAAACTGATTGAAGCATCTTACGATGGACACCAGTGGAAGCATGAATCATTCGCTTTTGTGGATGAGGATGTGGATGAGGAAGAAGAGGACAAGGGAAAGATTGAGGTAGTGAATGTGGGGATTAAATTAATAAAAAAACAATAGTGGAAAGAAGAAAAAGAAAGTGTAATTAATGGGGCATAGTGACTAGGTAGATGAGATGTGAAACAGGAAGTCTTAAGTTCAAATGTCAGAGCACTGAGTGCCACTAAGGAAACTGCAATTCACCTTGGGTCTCCAACCTTGGCCACGTTAAGCCTGGAGGACTTGAACCCCTAGAATTCCCAGCCAGCTGGCTGGGGAATTCTGGGAGTTGAAGTCCTCCAGGCTTAACTTGTCTAAGGTTGGAGACCCCTGCCTTAGAGCATCCCCTTTGCAGCATGGGAGAAATAGCTGCTTCTGCTGAAGAGTTCATAAGGTTGCTGAAATAATATATATAATAATTTTTGGAGAAGCAGCAGATTTTTAAAAAAAGTATTTATGAAGAGAAATTCTAATTCTTGCTTTATTTTATTTTCTATAATATTTTCCACAGCAGCCTACGTTAACCCCTGATTACCCAGAAGGACCTAATGGGCCAGTGACTCCTCACAAGCTAGTGGCAGAGGCACCAACACCTCCACAATCTCCAAGTACTGTGTCTTACTGGTCTTTTGTGGTGGGATGTGATGGCCAATATTTGAAGACTTAAAGGGACTTTTCTAATTGGGTTATGGAATATGGGAGGGATGAGAGACTTCATTTGGATTGTTGGAGAGTGTACAGATGTCTGATATCAACTTGCTAATATTTACTTTGAGGGGAACAGAAAGGCAATCATAAAAGAAACAAGATGTTTATGCAAGTACAGAATGCATTTGTATTAGAGGTATTTGTTGTAATTAAGAGATGAGAGCTCCTAAATTGGAAGTTATGTCACACAATTAAGTTATACAGTTTATCCCTCCATACCTTTTTTCATCCACTTACTCATGCATTAGACCACCAAATAAGGCTGTTTAATATTATGAGGATTTTATACAGTATTTCCACCCACCAGGTTATATGACAGAACTTCCTATTCTTCTAATTCATCATGGCTTTATCTCTCAAGGTCACCATTCCATAAACATAGAACCAAAAGGCTACTGATTTCTTTAATGAGTGTTGTCTGCTTTGCCAGGCGTATTTCCTCAGGGTTATTTACATTTTTAATACATTTACAATGAAAACAAAATAAAATATCATAAAGCGTTTAAAGTAAAAGAATTGCAGGATAGTTTCAGTGCAAAGCCTTTGGAACCTCCAAATATGTCCACATATGTCCAGGTTTGCCAGATTTATTTTAAAAGAAGAAAAAGGAGAACTGGCAAATCCAGGTTGCTTTCAGATAGGGGACACCTAGTGCTACTAATGAAAAAGCACAGGACAGCCATTCCATCTCCTCCTCCTTAATGTTTTCCATCTGGAAAGAAAAATGCCAAAACAACTGCTAGGAAAATATAGGGGGATTATTGAACACATGGGGGAGGACACTTCATCAGACTCTGCATATTTTATCTTGAATAAGACAAGAACAAGTGAAATAGATAACACTTCTTGACATATAACTTTGTTAGGTCCACGTACTTTTCTAGGTACATTCTGTTTCAAAATGAAGCGTGAATTTGCCAGACATCAGTATTATAAAAACATGCATAACAGGAGATTGGCATTTGATCTCTGTTAAATTTGTGCAGTAAAATATCACAGTTTATTCTTCTGTAATACCAGAATCCTCAGCATGGTGCTTGGGGTGACTATGTATGCCTGTCTACAGGTCCCATGGGCACCCCAGGTCCTCGAAGGCCAGTTTTGTTAAAATTCTTTGAATTAAAAGAAAATTATTGGGAAGTAAGGCTGCTCCAAAACAATAATACCACCCTTGAGATTAACCTAAGGTTTCAGCAGGTGTTTTGGGGGCCTAGTGTTATCCCCAGAGATTTTCTTAGAAAATAGTTTATTGGGATATATACAGCCCAGGGATTTGTTCATATTTTGGTATATCCTTATTTTATGATTGGTCATAGCAACCTTTGAATGAGAGTCCCTATAATGTATTCTCAGTTCCAAGGGTAGCTATTATCTATATTTGGGGTACTTACTCACAAGCATGTTAGCATGAAGAATGGAGCAGAGTGAGTCCACAATGCTCCACAATTGAAGGTAGGAAACTGCCCCATTGGATCAGGCCAAAGTCTCTATAACAGGGGTGTCAAACTTGCATTGAAATGGCGGCATCAAGTGACATATCATGACTCTTCCCCCCTTTGCTAAATCAGGCGTGGGTATGGCCAGCATGTGATGCATCTGGTCCTCAGGCTGCGAGTTTGACAGCCCTGCTCTATAGTCTGGCATCTATTAATAATCAAGTAGATCTGTCTTTCTTAATTTGCCCAATCCTGCTTTCTTTCAAACTTCTCCCTCCCTACTTTTGGTATAGAAGCCTAGAGCTTATTGGCTCTTGCAATCAATGCATTTTACATTTTATTTCCTACATCTGTTTAGACAGTGTGAAATTGTCATTCGTTTCACACAATTCTACACAAGGTCCAGACAATATCAGAAACCATCTACATTCACCCCAGGTTTTCTCATCCTTCTGCTATTTATTTCTTGCTGCAGCTAATCCATTCAGGAAAGGAGCAGGACAACAGTACAATCTCTTTCCTAACTTCCTATATGAAAATGTATACCCCTATTTGAGGCATGATCAGCAATTGGGTATGGTTGGAAGGAAAGGTGTAGTTTGATAAGGAAGGACATATTAGATATGTCCTTTCTCAATATTCTATCTGCATTTCCAACTTCAAAGTCATTTCATATTCTCCACTGAAGATCCAATCTTTAATCACGTTTAGCACAACTAACAAGCAGGGAAAAATTAGCCAGTATGGTTTTGAGACAAACTATAAAACTGATGTGTTTGGGTTGTCTGATTTAGAGCCAATTATAAACTGATCATGCTAGATTAGATTCCCAAGATTCTCTTATTATAGCCAGTGTCAATAAAAGTAGTTTTAACTTTTCTGTGGAGTTTTCATGGCCTGGTCTACCTAACAGGCGTGGCAGCCATCAAACACCAAATGCTTAGTTGAAAGAATAATATAATCTAAATATAATTGAAGAATTATATTTAGATGAAGCTATATTGTTTCAGTTTGGCTTTATATTGCTCTACTATAGAAAATATACATTTTATTACCTTACAAATCAGAAGTGATGCAGTGGCAACCTAATGTGCATGCATTATTGAAAGGGTAGGGAAAAAAGCATTGCTACTGGTTAGCCAGAAGTGTCTGCAGAGTGTAATTCAAAAGATCATGATGGCAGCCACAACATAAAAATGGGTGAAGCTTTGACTGTAGGTTGTGGCTGCCATCTTGATTTTTTTTTTTTAATCATACCTGCAGACAGCCCAGTGGTCAGCCATTTCATTCCTTGCATTTTTCCCTTCTCACAGCCGGAAGATGTTGGCAGCTGAGGAGACTTATGGAGCTACTTCTTTGTCTCAGCCCATCCCCCCAGGGAAAAAGCACCGAGCAGGTTTGAACAAGAAAGCTATCCTATGCCTAAATAATTTTGGGAAAAAAGTTCTGATTGCTATCAAACCCTGAGAAAATAGCATTTTTAGAGTCAGGAGTGGGAGGGAAATAAAATAAATTAAATTTCTCAAAATGAAGAACCGGATAGCTCAGAAGTCCATGTGGGCACAAATCTACAAGTGAAAGAGAAGTGAATATGTGCACTCCATGAGCTTTAATCTTTGCTATCCTGCACAAATTTTGTAGAATTCTGGAATGTTTTTCCTATTGCAGTACCTTCTGTTCCATTCTTTTGGACAGTGTTTGTAGCCTCAGGCTGGAATATGACAGGGAACTTTCCTCCTTTGAAGGACTTTCCCAATTACTTGGAATTACTTTTGAATCTAACATTCCAGACAGCCCTTTGCACTGCCTTTGGCTGGACTGGCTGGGATGAAGAGGGCAGGCAGGACATCAAAAACTTACATAGTAAAAGTGAATGGAAATGTTATGGTTTTGGACAGTCTGTTTATATTCCAGACAGACCTTGGATACACAACATACATACTTCATTATGGCAATGAAATAGGTTAGCTATGCAACACTGATATTCTATAGTCATTTATCAGTGTTTTACCCTTGTCTCTTTTTCTTAATAGGGTTGATCCCTTTAGGCAAGAAAACTTAAAATAGCAAGGGAAGCTTAGCATTAATCCTGACCTTTTGCGGCCAGATATTTTGGAAGATGTTCAGTACCAGAACTGACCTATCCCTGTTCATTCATCCCTGAACTGTCATGGCATGAGCACAGATGTTTTATACATTAGCATGCATATCTATTTTTCAAATGTATTTTTAAGCCAGACTTCCAAACCACTTGAGAATACCGTATGTTTTCCATCTTTGTGTCATTGTATTTCTTTGAATGGAACGGATAAGGATGATTTTCTGCTATTGTTTAGTGATAGAAATTGATGAATTAACTGCAAATTGTTTTTCTTTATTATTTTTTTAAAAAAATCTGTACGCCTACACTACCGGACTGCTTTTGAGGTTGTGAAGGGGGAGGGGTGAAGAAGCAATTCTTCACCCCTCCCTCTTCTAACAGATAATATCACTGCCTAGGAAAAATTCCTTTGCAGATTAATATACTACAATCCTCCTCATTGATTGTTTGAATTATTATAGTAAAGTCTTTCTTCAAATAATAGATTTCTTTGTTACAAACATAAGAATCCTAAAACTGCAACAGGAAGAATGATAAAAGGGTATTTTGGAATTCTGGTTCATTTATTTGTTTATAAAAATTACACAAGCACATGTACGTCACAAAGGTGTGCACAGTCAGAGCATTGTATTTAAGAAAGTAAATGGAGTGAAAGGAAACGGAAGATGTGGGGTGGACCAAGTACTCAGAACCCAAGTTTATCTCTGTCCTTTTGTGAGAATGTGATAGAGTTCATTTCATTGGAGGAAAAGACTAAAAAGAACTAAATTGAAGTTCCTCTGCATTTCTATAAGGAATAAAAGCAATTATATAAAACAAAGGAATATAGCTTTGAGATTCACCAGATATTGTTTTCAAATTTGCAGGGATGGAGGACAATAAATTTTATTTTAGAAACTGTAACCCAAGAAGCTTAGAATGCATGACCATATCATATGCACCGACTTGCTTTCTTTACCCATGTGCCAAATCTCATAATACATACAGTGCTCATTATAGCAATGGTGTTAGGGAAGAAGCAACATTTATGTCCTGAAAATGAGAATTGGATTGAAGCTTTGTTGCCTTTCTTCTGATCTTGGAACTGATTGCTTATTCCTTTCAGGATTCAGCAGAGGTTGAAGACCCAATGAAGACAGAAGAGGTACGTTTGGAAGTAAAGCAGAAGCCGAAGTTGAGGGGGTTGATATGTCGTGCCAGGAGATTCCATGAAAGAACCATATGATTATTTTAAAACAATCACAAGATTATTTATCCATTCTCCACTATAAAATGTGACTTTTGAAAACTTCTCTTATTTTCTCTGCAACAACTATACTGTCATATATGCTGCTATCAGTATGCGTGGCACCTCAGACAACAATGGGCAAAAATATGATAGCCTGCAAGAAAAAGTTGAAAGTTAAAGGGGGAAGATGTGTGTTACTACACTAACTCTACCATTGTAAAGCATTGCATAAATAATTTTTCAAAAATATATTTGTACTTAATAGGCTTATGACAAAAAGTACACTGTAATATCATGCTTATAACCTATGTGTGAGCTGCGTGACTCATAACTTAAAGAAAACAGGGAATATTAATAACGCCACATAGTTGAGAGATACCCAGTAGTACTGCAATTGCAGGTTTTAGTTGGTGTTGGGGATGTTCACTTTCATCCAGTTTTTTTAATCTATGGTGGTACACAGGCTCAGATTTTTGTTTGATGAATGCTGTGGACAGCCCTAAAGTTGCATGACTTTAAAACACTGGAGGAGAAACTGAGTAGAATCTACTTCACTTTGCTGGAGTAAATCAGATCATTTCTGTAGTCCCAAGGCTTTGCTGAAGTGAATTTGTGTTGTTTTGTCAGGCCTGGTAAGTAACATACTCCTGGAAGGGTCCTTGGTGCTCTCTGGGCTTGTGCTTTTACAGACATTTCATTGGAATTTCATTTTGCAGCAGCCAGCATGATGAGTAAAAACCATATGATTAAATGGAAAACTAGGACTTTGCAAATGAAAAGTATAGGAGAATGTGTTGGGCAGGGGTGGGATTCAAATTTTTTAACAACCAGTTCTGTGGGCATGGCTTAGGTGGTGGGCATGGCTTAGGCAGTCATGTGACTGGCTGGGTGTGGCCAGCTTAACATCACTCACATTGAGGCATGCATCTCCTCGCCTGGCCTCTCATCACTGTGGGGATGCTGCAACAGTCGTAAGTGTGAAAAATGGTCAAGTCACTATTTTCAGTGCCATTGTAACTTTGAATGTCACCCCACACAAGCAAAGTACCAGCAAAGGAGGGGGAAAAAACTCCAGAGACATTCCTGAGACAGGAAGTCTAGTCCTGCCAAGAATAATAAGGGTTAACAGAGAGGCAGTTTATGTAAGCAACACCAGAATGTTTCCTTCCTGCCTCCCTTACAGGATTAGGCCAATAATTTCTTCTAACAACCGGTTCTCCGAACTGCTTAGAATGTTAACAACTGGTTCTAGAGAATAGGTGCGAACTGGTAGAATCCTACCCGTGGTGTTGGGACACATAGTCTTTGTTCTTAAGAGAGCCTGTATAATGTCTGTATGAGTGAGAGTCCGTACAGTATACATGTAGACCTCGTTCCTGATTTCATTAGAGGATGGGCTTCAGAAATTAAAACCAAAATATTCATGGAAAAAGGAATCTTTGAGAAGGAATGTAAATGTAAAGAAAATGTAAAGTGTACTGAGAGGAGTAAGAAAAAAATAATAAAAATACAGTGTTCGCTTTAGGAAAGAGGTTGGTTTCAGATTCCTGTTAGAAATGGCTTTGTAACTGGTCCCTTTTGGATCCCAGTCAACCAAGAAGTTAGAAGAGGAATTGGACAAATTGGGAAATGTACCCAAGACAAGTAAATCATGCTATCCCATTGGCTAAAATAAGCAGCCTGGGAAAGTGGTTGGTGCAAATTATTTCTCTGAACTTGTGAACTCTTTTTTTCCTGTGTCAGATAGAAGTTTGGGAGCAGGAGGAGCTTGAGAAAAAGGTATGCTTCAGCAGCTGCCGCATAGATCCTTCTCCCTTTCAGCTGGTTGAGAGAACATCGCTGCATAAGGTGGGTGCTGCATTTCCTTGCTATCCAACTCTACCCCAATCAAGGTCTACACCTTCTTCTGATTTCATGTTCTCTTTATATTTCTTGATCTTCAACATATGGTGTGATCTTGCTTAAGCTTAACCTATCAGAACTAGTAGGGCTCTCTGTATATAGTATGGCCTTGACGATTCTTCTCTAATTTTACTCTTTCACACAAGACAAAGATACAGAATTGGGCTGAATCAACAAAATATAGACTTGTTCTCTTTTCTTCAGTTCCTTCTTGCTTCCTCTCCCCCACCCGCAGTTCCTGCCAAATTGTCTTACTATCATATATATTTTCTTTTCATCCGTCTCTTTTCCATTGCAAGTCACCACCTTGCCACGCAATTTTGCAAAGTAGACTAAGAGTTTTCAATGTGAAGCTAAGCCTCTAGAATTTGAATGAGAAAAATAGCATTAAAAGCAAAAGAACCACCCCAATGTTCAATTTGTTTATTTGTTATCAATCTTGCCGGTTCTGTATCTTATTACTACCACCCTTAGCTTGTGCTATTAGCAGAAAATTTCATCTAAGAAGCAGTGGTATTTCTTTAGACAATCTTGTCTACTAAAAAGATTTCTGTGTGGAGGAAACGGGGAGTTGGGCTACTATTTAATCTTTGCAGGAGCAAATTTCCTAATAAAATTGGGAACAGAAATTGTTGAATAAGTTGTTTTTTATTCTCAATGTTGTTCCAATGCATAACTCAAAATAAAGAAGTTAATAACAATGCTTCTTATGAATATGAACCATCAATAAATATAAAATTGAAGAAAACCTAATTAGAATTTTTATGTTTAATCAATTCCAAATTTTTCAATCTATGTATAAGGTGCCCTTTTTTAATTAGGTAGCAAGGTTTTGTTTAATATATGCACATCTGTGATTAGGAGTGATGGGCCATATTATAGCACAAAGATCTTGCTTATTTCCCTGTCTTTCAAAGAAGAAAAGTCTTGGTCTCACCTAAAATGATACTTGCAAGGATATATACAAAATCAAAAGGCATATTTTCCTTTTTACCTCATTTGATTTATTCAAGTTTACAGTACAACCCGGTTTTACTAAAATCTAATTTTTTCCAAAGAGTTTATGACTATCCATGACCCTTCTGAGCCGTGGTGGCTCAGTGGTTAGAATGCAGTACTGCAGGCTGCTTCTGCTGACTGCCGGCTGCCAGAAGTTTGGCACTTCAAGTCTCATCAGGCTCAAGGTTGACTCAGCCTTACATCCTTCCAAGGTGTTTAAAATAAGGACCCAGATTGTTGGGGGGGGGGCAATATGCTGACTCTGTAACCTGTTTAGAGAGGGCTATAAAGCACTGTAAAGCACTATATAAGTCTAAGTGCTATTGCTATTCTATATTCCTCTGAATTCAGAAGAGTTTAATTCCATTTATATCCCATCTAGATGAACTTTCCCTGCTTTTGCTACCTGAGAGTACCCTTAGCATGCTAGCACACAAGATAAAGATAATTTAGTCTGCTAGGTCATAGGTTATGTAGAATCGGAAAATTATTTAAACCATAATCTTTTATTTATTTTGTGTATGTATACTGCATTACTATGTAACTCACTATCAGTTGACTTGGTGCAATTTGTTTTTTAATGCCAACAAAGTATTGCTTTATGTTAATCGGACAAATGGATCTCTACTTCTAACTGTTCCAATTTCAAACATAAAGGTTTCATATTTTGCTTCAGGTTTATTCATGCTAATATGGGTAAAAAAAATCCTACCATTCTCAACCTGTGTCAAATTCTCCATGAGTTTGCAATGGTTGGTCTGTTTTATTTGTTAATTTATCTTAATTTCTCATTTCTGTAGACACATACCTTGTTCTCATTGCTAGGACTCACCAATGCCTACGTAACCAGTATGGGAAAACTAAGGGGTGTGATTGCACTGGAAGAGGTAATTTAAATCATGTTATCTTTGTATTTTGTCTGGTTGAGTCTTGCTTGAGAGTACAGAAAAGGTCTAATGGAAAACCCAAACTGGGGAAAAAAAAGATTGTAAGGGGAGTACTACTCCTTATACACTACTTACACCTCACTCTTATCATTCCTTCTGAATTCCTGATGGTGCCTTCTCAGTCCACATTTAGAAAAGACATTTAAGACTTTTTCTCTTCCATTTAGTTCTATTTTACATTTCATGTATTCTTTTAATACTATCAGTGACATATAACACAACTCCCCTATGGACTTTAGGTTCAGTTCCCAGAGTTTTCCATCCAAAGCCAGCAAAATGTAACTTGTACCGGTAGTATCAGTAGCTGCAAAAAAAGTAATGTGTGTACTATTTAATTTTATTTTCATTAAGTTTAAATTGAAATGCAATATTTTATTTTATTCTGGCCTCTATTTCTTTTTCAGACTTTCCTAATTTTTGAAGTGTACTCACTTGAAGTCTTAGTACACCCTTGCTAAAAGTTGCAAAATCTGATATAATATACCATCATCTAGTCTACAAGAGGAATCCCAGTTTAAAACCTCTTAACATTCAGAAGAAAAACTATCTTTAGTCTTATTACGACTTTATTGGCTATGAAGCCAACTGGATTGTGGCGTTTTCCAAGAGGAGAAATTAGGTTGTGGACTTGAGTTGAATTTATACATGCTTAACTTCCATGGCTTTGTCTTCTTCCAAAGAATCTTGGAACCTTTTGGTTTGTGATGGTGCTATGTATTTATTTGCCATTTCCTTCAAAGGAAATTTGTTCTCTAGGATGGAGATAATGGCTATTGAACCCCTTACTTCATGTAAATGTACTCGTCAGTATTTTTTGTAGAACAGTCATTTTCAGCACACTCTCCAAATTTCCAGCCATCGCTACTTGAAGACACCAAGTTGGGGGTTAAAAAAACACCCTATTGTACTGTAAAGATAATCAAGGTTTCCCCCCTTCCTTGAGCATTTATAAACTTCTGACTGATGAGCATCTCATTTGCTTATTTTCTCCCTTTATGAAGGACAAAAATAGCACATAGTAGTAAATATCAGAGTTGAGTTCTGTCTGGAACTTCAATCCCCTCCCCTCCAAGCAGCCCATTTGATGCCTCCAATGCCTCATGTATTAGGCAAGGATAAAAATTGGGGCTCTCTCTGCATTTATTTTGTTTAAGAAATAAAATAGGTGCCTTAGCTTTTGCAGAGTTAGAGCAGCTAGTTTTACCTTAAAGACCCAGCCTCCCCCAAATTTTCTTATGGAAAGTGTTAACTTTGGTAAATATTTCCAAATCTTACTTTGTGTACTCTGCTGAAATTCATATGTTGTAGTAGTCTATGAATGAATGAATGAATGAACGAACAAGCGAATGAGGAAAAAAGGATTAAAAGGTTTTTGGTCTTGCCTATTTTGGTGACATTGTCATGTGATAAGGCACATCTAGCAAGATCCAAAAATGTGGTCCTTAGGATGAAAATGATTGCCCTTCTGGTCCATGGAAACTATATAGTCTTAGTCTTCCATCCTTCCGAAGTGGGTAAAATGAGGACCCAGATTGTTGAGGGCAATATGCTGACTCTGTAAATCACTTAGAGAGGGCTGCAAAGCAATGTGAAGTGGTATATAAATAAGTGCTATTGCTATTTTGATTGAGGAAGGGTATCTTTGTGCAACTTGCTTGTTAATTCTGTGTCTCTCAAACTCCCAGCTCCAGAAAGCTATTGAGGGGTCTACACGTACTGGGGTCCAACTTCGTCCTCCTCTTGCAAGTTTCCGTGATGCCGCTCAGACTTCAAGCAGCAAAGAGCATACCAATTGGTCGACAAAGATGTGGAGCAAAGGTACCAGTGATACAGTCACTGGGAAATCTGCATTGGACTCAGGACCAGAGAACTCAGGGGGTCCTAGTTCCCCTGTCGCACAGCAGTCTTCCCTTCCCAGGTAAAGAAAAGAGATTCTCTCTGCTTCAGATGCTGATATAGAATTGGAGGACATAGAAATTTCTGGCCCAGCTGCTGAGAACATCTCAGACATACTCAAGGATTTGTGCTCCAGAAACCTGGAAGAGGACGAGAAGGATGATAATGATATGACAATATAATTGCACCTTGGAAAAAAATTACCTCATCCTTCAGCATAACCTGCCCACCATACTTACATTTCAAGGAAAGGCTTGTGACCTGCTTTGCTGGTATCAATGGAAGACCATTCATGCTGGAGAACTTGTGTGGCTATGTGGACTGGCTTTCCTCTGCCATTTTCAGTGGGATGCAAGAAAGACATGAAAAGCAAATGGGTGGAAGGATCCTACCCTATATCCTCTAGTTTTGCATCCTTTGATTATGATCCCTGTGTGTGGGGGCACATGGTATGGCCCCGTTTTCTGTAGGGATATATTCCAAGTGTTCTTCAGGTAAATCTACCACTTATATCATCATTCAGCATGTCATGACATTAGCCTGGTGGGGTAGTCCAGACAAGAAGTGTAACCAGGAGTTCTAACTCTTAACTTCATTGTAAGGTTGCCTTAAGAGAATCTTGCCAGAGTGAAAGTATTTCTCCCCTCCTTTTTCCTTGCCAGAAAACCAGGGAAGATCTCTTCCGAAAAGTTTTCCACGCCCTACTTCCATCTGAGGGCTGTCTTTTACACTCTGGCTGTCCAGTCTGTGGCTTTTCCTCCTGTTTCCAAAGGTCACTCCCACATGCCCTTATGTATGGCCATCTTTGTCCCTTTGAGGTGTTCTGATCTGAGGGAGGGTCAGAAAACTTAGCCCAGGCTCAGTCCTGATGTAGAGAACTCATCCCAATTTGTAAACAAAACAGAATATGACAAGTGCTTCATACCCCCTTTTGTCTTTTTGTAAAAATAAACTCCAATCTATGTTCTACATGTGAAACTAATTCACCCCCTCACAAATTCTTCTTTTTGTCATTATAAGCTTAATATCTATTATTTCTACTAATTTGCACATCCTTGTCCTAAAAAAAATCTCCCATATATTGAAATATTCCTCCGATACTTGTTGCTGGGGTAAAAATACTAGAAACAAGTCTGACTGAGGATATTATCACCAAAGTATACTTGACTAAGTAATAAAGTAACTGCTGTTAATCCAGATAGTTCCCCATCTTGCCTATGCAGGCACAATCATAAACCTTCAATTCTACCTGTAGTGATGCATTTGTCAGAACATTAGTTTGATTGAAGACTTTGGAAAAAAAAAATCAAACCAGAAGGGGAACGTCAATGAACTCTAAATGCTGATGAGCCAAGGATTCAAATTAAGGCTGTATAAATATCACTTACATCTTAAATATCCTACTGTTATTACTTGAAAGAAATTTCTACAAATGCTGTCTTAAACATATTTGTACCTGATGACTAAAAACTGATGTGAGAAGAAATTGATGTGTTGAGAAGCAGCATCAGTAAATGAAAGAAGGGGTGGCATTTCTAAGGATATATCTGCATTTCTTCCTTGTACTGTGTAACTTTTATACAAATCTAACAATATTGACTCTTTCCAAAGGAATCCCTAAGAAGAGGGTAATAAGAAATAACAAGCACAACTAAACTTAATGATTGTTAATTGGGTTCAATAACTCATTGGAAATATATGGCACATAACCAAATAAGAAAAATCCTTGCTTAACCTAACCTCTTGCACCTATAATCAATTCTTGTTTCAGCCATTGCACTCAGACTGTAACTCTGTGCTGTGTCACTAGTACTGTACAGTACCAGTAGTATATCATCAGCCACTCAGTACAGATGTGTTAATTGTTTGAACTAGTGTTTCTGAGCAAGATTTGGTCTAATAAATGGAGAAAAAAAATGTTATGATGATAATGGTAATGATTTTACAAAAGGTTTGTCAGAACCACATTGGAAAGGGTTTTTGTTGGGAATCATGTCAGTGTCTGAGTGTTTTGAGGCAATTTGATAGCCATGTCCCAAAGTGCCTATTCAAGACCGATTAAATGCAGATCAGCTTTATCTAATCACTGTTTAGTAATTCTTTCAACAAATACACAATTTGCTGGTATATACATTTTAGTGCTGATTTCTATTCGTTTGTCACCAGAGGGATACTGGCTGTTTGGAACAGTACTTTAACAAAATCCAGAATTTGGGATACATATGACAGAATCCAAATTCATACTGTCATACACTTAAGGCAAATCATTGCCAGTTTCTTTGATTGTTCCATGTCTGAGTCAAAATGGATATAGGTCTGTAAATCATTGGATTTGGATTCTGTCATTCATGTGCATCAATAACCTACGAAATCAAATGAGAATGCAAACAGGGCTTGTTCTCAGTTAAGCAATAAGCAGGAAAACCTGTCAAAAGCACAGAAATTATTCATTTTGTTTTTGTTGTTGCCCCACAGCTTCTGCTTCTCCAGTGTTACAAGCTGTAACATCTGGGCATCCTTTACTCTACCTAAATAGTCCTCTAATTTATTTAGCCCACATTTTTACTGGAGTGGTAAATCTTTCATTTGGCTTATACTGCTTCAGACTGTAGCTAGAAGATAGTTGCAATAGTCATTCATTTAAAAAAAATGTCCAGAGAAATTTGATGCCATGCATCAAGAATGTGAAGAATCTCATTAATATAAAAGCAAGATTGTGCCACATCCCTAGCTTGTAGAAATTTTAAGATTTTTTTCAGCCTACCATTAATTAGAGGAAGCAAAAACAAACCAAGCAACTCCATATAGTATCTGCTCACATTCTTCAGAATTACCAATGATATTTTGCTTTGCCTAGGGATATTAATGTATTCCGATAATATCTTTATTTTGTTCCAAGATTGGCAGTACAATTTCTTTAGTAACAGTCATTACTAAATTCCATAATCTTCTGTCCAGAAAGACACTTGTTTACTCTTCTACTGGTGTAAACTTACCTCGGTGGTCCTTTCTGGGCTAGAAAGTAGATTTCAAATAAAACAGAAGGATGAAATATGCACTTTTTGATTCTATAGACAATCTTATAAATGTTATTCTGGAGGCTGTTGCTTTGTAACGCATCAGTTTCATGCAGATGCATGCACATAAACATATTTATGGAATAGAAAAGTTATATGGGCGGGACTATAAGAACACAAAGAGAGGAGTGCATAGATACAGATTGGTTTTTAGACCAAAAATATGAAGAGATGCCGTAATGTAAATTATATTTCTGCCAATGGTGTTTCTGAAACTTCTCACCTTTACATCAGCATGTTTTTGCAGTCATTGGAGGTCTAGATTATGGGTTTTTCTGAGTACATGTGCTTCATCTATTTACATGTAGTCCTCATTTAGTGACCCAAATGGGACCAACAGCTGTGTTGCTAAGGGGTCACAAGACCCCAACTGTGCTTTCCTTTCCCCAATCTCCTGCCCTTCGAATGTTCAACCCAGTGCTGGGATAATTAGTAAGAAAATAATTAATGTTTATATTTACATTAATGGGAGAGGAAGGGATTGTAAGAGTAAGCCGGCCTACAATGGAGAATCC